CATGGCGTTGGCGAGGATTCATCTACAGACTAAAGCGCAATTTGCAAATCATATTTAAGCCCACAGATATCGTACGAAAGGCAACGAGGAGGGGAGAGGAAAGAAAAATTGTACGATTCAAGATATGCATAGTTTGGGAGACTTTAATTGCACACATTCGCTGCATGCGATACGCATTTCAATTTTCTGTTGGGTTATTCCTTCTGGTTTTAACATGATGTGTTGTTGCAATGTAATGTTACAAGTATGCAATGCGAATTTTCTTTGAGTGCATTCTATATTTTCGATCATCTTGAATAAGCATGGCAATTCATTATACAGGTAGTGGTACCCGAATCGTGAATATTCCTCACACTCAATGGACAACCTGAGTGGTGACACGCATTTTATTTTATTGGGTTTGAAGGCACACGATGTCAATGGCGAAAGACGACAGTGAGTCACATCACTCTTTGTAGTGGACAGATATATGTGATTATAATATGTGCGCGTCGGTGGCACGTGAGTGCTCGGGAGACGTAGTTAGGTTATTGTTGGACACCTTTATGTGTGTTTGGCGTCGTGACTATATTCGGTGTGGAGGGCCGCGATCGCGATAGAGTATCAGGCTGAGTGATAGGCGAACACTCAGATTGATGCGCTGTGCGATATTAGTGATCTGAACTGGGGATTTGAATGTATTGTGTGTTGCATGTTGCATATGGCAGATATGTTTGTAGATAACTTGCTAGAATAATTGAGCGGGGCTAGGAAAGATATGTGCGGCATGTGTGTAATTGGATGTAGCAGATGTAGCGTCTCTCGCTCTCTCACAGATGGTGTTATGATTCTCTTTTAAGCACGGCGTTTGAGTAAGAATTTCACACTATGTGACATGCCGCGCTTGCGTTCTTGGTCTGTCCTACCAGGAGCATATAACAACAAAGCAAGTATTAGCCATGCGTGCAGATTTGAAAAAATAAGACCAATCATTTGCAAAGTCTGAAAGCACGCTAAATAAATGCCAACTGCTGTCTCAAGCTCGGAAAATTACTTGGGCAAAATCTAACGGTTTTTGTGCTATTTAGACGTCCCTAGTTATACATCTTATATCGATATGTTGAGCACGTTGAGAAATAAGCTTCTTTGAGATTTTTTGCCCGTACCCAACACATTTATAAAGTTAAACCTCCTTCTAATGATGTTAACCACTACCGTGCTTGCTTAAACGAAATATTGTCGTCCAAATTCCACCATGATCTTAGTTTAAGAACATAAGCTCACACAATTAAATTTTCCTCATTTGCTACAAAATTATGCTAATCAAAGTCTGGTTATTCTCGACATGCCAATATAAGAACCAGATAATTTCATACTAGTAAAAAGTACTTTGTGAGCTACTTGACCAGCCTTTTGTACTAGACAGGTTAAACTGCTTAATAGCCAAATACAAGAGATATAACGTGTCGCGATTTCAAAAAGAAATATAAAAAGTACAAGCATTTCCAGCATCTTTCTGCAACATTTCTGAACTTTAAAACACTTTTATGGCAACATAAAACTAAATGCTTGAAATGAAGGATAATGGAAACACCTTTCCAGGGCTATATTTTCTTTTCAAAGTTGTACATTTGCAGAATAGGGTTATGATGGGGAATAGAAGTAGCAAAGTGTGTGGGAAATAAAAGATCTACCTTAGTTCTAGAATATGTCAGAGTGGCTATATATCAAAGATTCAGTTCTATAACATCTTAAAGATGACTTGTGTTATTATTGTGGGTTGCAGTAAAGCTTCTTCCTTTATTTACATGTAAAAAGCTAAGATTATACTCCACCTATGGGTGTTCTCGGAAAATTGGAGATAGAACATAAGTGCAAGAAGTTGAATCACATTGCGTTGAGTATTCCTCGTTGCTTGTTACAAAGCATGCTCAGATGTAATTCAAATTGAATGCAAAAAAAGACTTACTTTGCTGTGCCAAAAGTGAGATTTGAGAAGGGGCGTGGAGCCCCCACAATTGATAAAAGTAGACCAATTTTAAGGTAGCATTAATGCTCGTTGCCCAAAGAGAGTCCATTATGAGAGATGGGTTTGTAAGCATCCATAAACATTAAATATGGTGTTGCCTGAATTGCAAGCAGATCGGTTATCACATGGATAACTCAAGCAATCCCAACGATGATTCTAGTGACAACTGACTCACGAAAACTTGACTCAGGATAGGTTTTGTCAACATTGTTTTATACCAGTACTTGTTGTTACCATGCGTAATTGCGATTGGAACGAAAGTACCAAACTAGGTAACGCACACATCTTTTTTATCTGCCTACAATCTTTATGTGCAGATAATTTTTAGCTGTCACGCGTATAATAAACATCATACATGACACAATTCCCGGCTCCTTGCAATCCAATGCTTGTAAACAAAACTACAAACTGTTTAAAAAGTGCTTAAAAGCGCCATTGTTGCCTTCATTCTTTAGGCCAGCTCACTGCCTCCATTTTACCAAGCAACCACCACAAAGCCCGTTCTGTTGTATCTGATAATTATCTAAAAAGCTGTATTATCTATCGGAATTATCTTTAAAATAGCCGATGATTGTGGGAGCGATGTCAGGTGTATAGTCAGCATACTTCTCTGCAGCTCCTTGCCTGTGTCTGGTATACGAAGCCGTTTGTGTCATATCATTTTGTGCGCACAAAGTAGTTCACATTATTTCGAACTTACTGAGCAAAGCAAAGCTGTGCGTGAATCTCACTAAGAATACGGCTATAATGTCTAAAAAGACTGTTTCAGGGATTTTGGTTATAATAAATTAGCTCATTGATAAAAAATTCGATAAAAAAAAGATGTTTCCAAGTGAGAAGTAATCAGAGAACGAAGGGACCTCTAGATTTAGACACAAACCAGGAACAAATTCGATTGAAGAGTTTCCGTGGGCTACGCGACAATCAGCATGCTGTTTAATAAATAGGAAGAGCTTTTTGTATAAGAAAACAATGAAGTAATAACTTACAATTTCCTGAGCTACTCTGCCTTCCAGAATCTTTTTAATGCTCCACACGGCTTGCCAATTTGTTTTTATTAAGGTCCAGCGTGCACTGTCCAAGAACGAGGCTGGGTACAGATGCCATAGCTCAAAAAGAATAGCCAGGCAAAAGAAGACATCTCATTAATAAACATAGGCTACGAAGATGCATCATTTATGCAAGTCGTCACAAGACCTCTCTCCAATATGTAGTACTGCCAGTTCTAATGCTTTGCTTTCAAATGATCATTTTTTACAGACAGATTACTTATTAGTGCAACCAAAAGCAATATCTCTCTCAAGGTGCAGTCTGCACGGTGCAGCTACTGTTTTCCCAAACAAACTTTGGTTTACTATTTAAATTGCGCTTGTGGTCGCGAACAGCTGTACAATGCTGTAAATCCGAAATCTTCCACACCTTGCTTCAATGCAACTTTGGCTAAATTTCGACTTTGCAACTCTGCTACTTTGCTAACTTTTGCAACTTTGCGACTTGGCCTTGCTGCTACTCTCTGTTACCCTGCCAACTCGAATCTGTGTGCACTGCGCATTCTCCCATCTAAAACCACATGACTGATACATTCAAAGAATCCACTAAACTTGCAGCTATGAACAAGATTACAAGAACTTTCATTTTAACACGCGGGATTGACACGTGAAGTATTTTCCCAACGCGATTGTGCAATTAAAAAAACAGCGAAGTGTTCGAATTAGAACTAGCTGTCACACTAGAGATCTTATTGATGCCAATAGCAGAACTTATTGCGATACTCAACGCAATCTTGCTACGGTATCGTGACTAAATCTAAAATAATAAAGTGAATAAGTCTGTTCCTAAAAGCTGTAGATAAGTTTACAGATGCGATTTCTGGCCAATACTAACAGCCCCAATTTCACCTAAATCAAGTATAACTGCAAAGATATGTTTCAATACACTTCTTGGAATAGAGAATGCTATTTTTAAACTGCTATAATTTTAAGAGAGGCAGTTCTTAAGTAAAAAAGCTGAGAAGAACATGTCTTCAACAGAATTGCAATATGACATTTACTCCTTATTCAGTCTCGCAATAAGAAAGAACTTAATCATAGAAAAGGCCACAGAAAGAAGAATTTGCATGCTGTTCACGGCAAAGCCCAATCTAGTGCAAACTTTCTACTGTAGGCTTGCCCACTCTTTCTTTGGTGGACCTATCTAGCTCTAGATTTTGTCTCTCACACTTGTAGTTATTTTTGTACTTTGTGGCATTATGAAAGCTTTTGTATAAGTTTGCTAATTTGAAAAACAAAACTACAAACAATACCAATCATCGCTAGCACAGCTAAGCGACGCGAGCGTTGAGATAAGTGGGGGGTCTAAAAAAGTGAGCGTGGGGGGGCTAAAACCATATAAAAGAGATCTTTTACTGTACTTATACTTAGCATTGGTCATCAATTATAATATTTGGAATTGGAGGGCTAGGAGCCACCCCAAAAAACGCCCCCCCAAACGCGCCCCCCCCCCCCACCCCCCACCCTGCTCCGTGGAGCCTGAGCCAAGCAAAATGGGTGTAAAGATGGAAATACTCCTCCAATTTACTTTTCACTAATGTCAGAAATATTCCAAGATATATTGTAGAAGATATATGAACAGCCTTTTCCTACAATTTGGTGTTCAAGGAATGGCTTTGTGTTATGTTTTACTTTCTGTTGTGTGCAATTAGCGTGTTACTAAATGAAAGAGCATCAAGAAATGGATTTTTTATCTAAATAGCCAACAAATTAACCGTGCCCATATCTGCACAAAGTATGGATTTTCTTTATCTTTACTCATTTAAGCCAGTTTCTATCATTCTGTGTACTATAACATCACTTTTATACATGCATTGCCGTAACCCTCATTGAGAAAATCATACCAAAGTAAAAAGTTTGAGATACTTGCAGTTACAGAGAAACCTTTTAAAAATTGGAGATTGGCTCATGTCGGGAGAAAAGGGCATCTCTGTGAGCTACCAATAGACACTTTACCAAGTCTGAAAAGTGGGGGGTACACCCACGTCCCTCTTCAGTTACTGCGTCTATGGTAGCCTTTTTAATGAAAAAAATTTCTATCGAATCCTATCTGTTTCTTACTGCTATCTGTGTTGCTTTAACCCCATAATACACCGCTAAGTAAGAGAGCTTTTCCTTAAAATTGAGGGATGTTTCTCTAAAAAGCTGATAACCGTTTTAAAATATCTAAATCATTTGTAGATCTTAGCCGATTTTTGGAAATATTGCCATTCAAAAAGCAATTATAAACAGAGGCTTGCGTCTCATTTCATCTTTGTAGATCTCAAGCAAAACATTAAAAGGAAGTCATTTTTTAATACGGTATCATTTTTAAGGCAAGAGTTTACCCTGGCTTTGGATAGTTCCGTGTGATTTTACTTAAAGATTTTACACATGTTAATTTAGGCATTTTAAAGCATCACTTGATGGCCATATCATTTGGTCCTAACAAAATTTGTAAGCGTTTATGGTGTAGAAAATGAAATATTATTTTGAATTCCATAGTTTTATTGTTGTCTCCCCCGTGACATTATTCTATCCAGAGTAAAATTTCGAAAAAAGACAGAAGTAAAGGGGGAGATTGGACAGGAAATGGTAGGCACGTAGAACTCCTTCAGCATGGTTAGAAAACATCAAAGATCAGGAAAGAAACATGCTCGTTGCAAGAAGCCAACGGACGAAACAATAGCATCCCCCCGAAATTTATTTTAGGCGTACCTCTGTGTGAGCCTTTATAATCTTAAACATATCTTGCTTAGACCCCTTGGTATCGCTTCTAAAGGTCACCATTAAGCTATTTTGTTCAATCAATGAACAACATAGTTCGGCTGGATTGTGAAATGGTATCATGGTTTGCAACCTGCAAATTATAAAGCTTGGTCTAATAATAAAACACTATATTCAGGCATCCAATTAGTTTAGAAATTAAATGCATTCAGCTTGACTAATTTAATACGTAGCAAACAGAGATGGCTTGGCAGATTGTGCATTGACACAAGAGGTGCCTTGGATAGGAGGGGGCTCTGAGGTAAAATTCTGACGGTTTTCGGGTGTCCCGTCCCCCATTAACAAGCAAGCTCATGTCTGGTTAGACGAATTTTGTGGCAACCCTTTATTTTACTTAAGATTTTCGTAAATGAGCAATTTTCTACCAGTATTTTTAGTCGATGAATAGTTTGAATGAGTTCTTAAGCACCATTAGAATCTTTGTCACAAATGTATGTTAATTAGGTGAGGTCAGGGGTGTGGCTTCTACAAGTTGCTTGCAGAACAGCACCCTCCTAAAATTTAGGAAGGCGCCCCTGATTAATACATAGAATTAACTTTAATAGGAACTATTCAAAACCGGGTCTATGTACTAGGCTTTAAATATTATCATTTCCTAAAATGGATCATTGAATGGTCGAGGAAGAAAAAGGTAGATTGCCTGTCTAGAGCCAAATACATTGATAAACAAGGATAATTTATTTTTGTTTATCGGCGTTACCTTTCAATATCAATATCGACTGGCAGCAATCAATCACTGTGAATGCAGTCATGCCTAGATAAGTTCAATTATATATCCGGAAAGCGATTATGCAACATGCGTGATCCCTATCGCAGGCTGTCTCACTTTTTCCTACTGATGTATTTCATTATGGTCACGAACTGTTGAGAATCATTGCAAATATATCTATGGATAATGGCACGATTATATTAATGTTTAATTGCGATTTTCTTTTTATGACTTTCTATATTGACGTCTAAAGTGTGGTGTCACAAAGATTAAACTTATAAAAAAATAAACTTGCGATAACCACATAGCCTTAAAGAGCATCATGAAATACTTAAAGTATGAAAAAATGCTAAATAAATTGATATTTGATTAAGCTATGACAGATGAAAAATTTCGAAGTTTTTCTGATGCCAAGGGATTGCTGTTATGTTGGCTTGGTTTATGAAGCTATGTTACAATGATTGGAGGGCAAAAATTAACCAGGCTTCGCCAAAGTGCGAGCGGCGCTCGCAGGCAAACTGCCGATCAAATTAAGTCTGCAGGCACATCTGTAAAAACGGTCTTTTTTCAAGTTTCCAACTGTTTAAAAATTTAGAGAAATAATTCAGCTACAAGTTTTACCATGTGAATATTATCAAATGTTTTTCTTCCTTT